ATGCCCAGCCTAAGCATGTCTTTTGATAATAGTACAGTTAAGTGTCGAATGTAGATGCGGTTACACAAAGCTACACACGTGGCAAAACTGCATGGAGCCATATACACACATACACAAATCAATGCATGTATAACTGATGAGATCTGCATACACTCTGTGGATTGTACCGATGTCAATTTCCTGGGTTTGATGATGTGCTCCATTTATGCAAGATGCTCACACTGGGGGAGGCTGGGTGAAGGGCACAGGAGGCCTCCCTGTACATTTACATGCAACGCCTGTGAATCTGTCATTTCAAAATAGAAAGTTTAAAAAGTCTGCATGATGGTTAATTTTAGGTGTCAACATGACCAGATTAAGGAATACCTAGAAAGCTGATAAAGCATTATTTTGGGGGTGTGTGTGAGGGTGTTTGTTTCCAGAGGAGATTGCTCTGAGTGGACTAGGTGGGAAAGATCTGCCCTCAACGTGGGCGGGCACCGTCCAATCTGCTGCATGTCTGAAGAGAACAAAAAACAGCAAAGGTGAGCATGTAGATCTGTCTGCTGGAACTGGAACACAATCTTCCTCTCCCATCCTTGGACAACACTCCAGGCTCCCCGGCCTTTGGACTTCAGGACTCAACACCGGCACCGCCTGCCCCTGGGGTTCTTGGGCCTCGGCCTGGGACTGAGAGTTGCACCAACTGCTTCCCTGGTTCTGAGGCCTCTGGACTTGAACTGAGCCATGCTACCAGCAGCCCAGGGTCTTTGGTTTGCAGAAGGTCTGTCGAGGGACTTCTCGGTTTCCATAATCTTGTGAGCTCATCCCCCTAATAAATCCCCTCTCATCTATCTACCTATACATCCTGTTGATCCTGTCTCTCTGGAAAACCCTAATCCAGTCAGGCCGCCAACCAGCATGGTCATCATAGAGGCCACGCAACATCGTCTCACCGTATGTGTCGAGACATTTTCACTGTTGCTGCTCCCTATACACGAAAGAGTACACGGAAACTCAACTCTTCATTCTTTTCCAAATTTGTGTATTCACAGAGGAACTAATGGCATTCGTTCCTTGTGTTGTCTGAACCTCGGTGTTGTCATGTCCTTTGTTTCCCATTTTGACAGTGCTGTACTTGTGGCTGGATGGTCTCACTCCACTTTTTCTCTCCCCCCTCAGGACGGTGAGGTATGTTTAAAAGAGAGAACTCTCAGATCTCTCTCTCTGCCTCCACTCCCTCTCTCTGTCCCCGCCCCCCGTTTTGGTAACATTTCTTTTCCTAGCCCCAAATAGAAATGCTCACTGCATCTTTTCTCTACCTGCCCCATTTTGGGATGAGAGTGTAACGCCTTTGGGTCCCTTAAATGTGACTTACTCATTTTATGTTCCAAGCTTTATTGAAGCAGCCTAAGACTGAGCTTTCAGCCACTCAGGAGTGTCTTGAGATTCCAAGCAGCCAAGAAATCTTAGGGCTTCCCTTGTGTCTTTTTCCACGGTGAGTAACCTGTATTCAGCAGGGAAGAGAGAGGGAGATACATCAATATACAGAACTATTTTCCAGAAAACCCAAGTGGCCATCTATCCTTCTCCCTTGGTGTGTGTGGGGGAGACCACTTAGTCGTTACTAGTAATGTCAAATAATACAAAATGCCAACATGACAGTACTTCTGAATATGGTGGAGACCTGTAACGTAACTTTGGCACAACTTTAAAGCCACGAGGCCTCCAGTTTGTCTCACTGGAACAAGTCACTTCCCTTTAGATTGCCGCAAAGCTGATGACAAAAAGTCAATGTCATTTCCTACATGTATGGAGAGAGGAAACAAAGTCAGAGAGCCCTAAGTTCCCTGAATGGCTGACCAACCAGTATTATGTGAGAAGAGCAAAATCCATCCCCTTATCTAGGCCCCTCGGTCACCATTTATGGGGCTATTTAGGGCCTTGGTATCAGCTGTGATTATGCAGAGACATACCTAGTCATCTCAGGAGAGAAGATATCTTGTTGTATTTCTGATATAGCGCCTTGAGTTCTTGAAGGAAAAATACCGGAAAGGTTTATGTCAGTGCCGTGACTCTGGTGCTGCTGCGTTAAGTTCTAAATCCTAAGGATGGCTCAGGAAAGGTTTGCAGACCAAAGCCAGGGAGTACGGGTTTTTTATTAATAAAACGTCACAGATGGCTTTTTTTCCCCCTTTATGAAGGGCCATTCCTAAATGCAGCAAATCAACCACATATGGGACTGCTACCCTTCATCCCTGTACATTTTCAGCCTTTCTTAGTGAGTTAAGGGACAAGGGAAGATGCTAGCAGATGCTTTCTGAAACTGACACATAATTGTTATGAAACTGACACACAATAGCTTTGCTTCCAAGCTGTCCTTAGCGGTTTGTTGGATGGTTTGTGCCTGTTAGCTTCGTTGGCTTTGGATGGTTTTTGTTTTAAGGATTGTTGCACTTTACATAATCTGGGCCTCGCTGTTTAGGGACCCTTCTGAGACTCTCTCTAGGCCAAACGCACACAAACTCTGTGTGTGCCTGGGATATGGCAAGAGCGTCCACGTGCCTGCCAGTCTGTCTCAGATGCCATGCGGTCGTAGTGGGATTTGCGATCACCAAGCCTCTTCAGAATGCCCTGGTTTTCCACGGTAATTCTCACTAGCTCGCGGTTCCTCCATTCTCTGTTTAAGCTGAAAGACACAAAACCTCAAGATGGGTAAAGAAGGAAATGCTCCTCCTGGGAGTAGGGGAGGAGATGAAGTCATGATGTCATAAACTCCCGGCCACCTATGTGCAGGGAATAAACTGCTCCGCTGAGCCCTGAGGCCCCCAGGGCAGCCCGCTGAATCACACTGCACTCTGGGAAATGTGCAAAGCATTTACAGGTTTATGTCTATGGTCCTCAAACTTGCTGCCCACTAGAAGATTCTACTTTATTGGTCCGGGGTGGACCTTGGGCATCTATATTTTGTAACTGTTCCCCAAGCAATATAATGTGAAATCAGAATTGAGAACCTCTGGTTTATGTAATGGGGGAAGGTCTCCCTATGGATAAATCACAAATGGCTGGTGACAAGGTTTGGTTCATGTCACTCCGCTCAGCTTCCAGCTTATACCAGGATATACCAGGATACTGGCAAGGCATCTTGACACCACCCCCCCACCATACACACTCCACCAAATTCTCGATTTTTTTTTTTTTTTTTGAGACAGAGTCTCGCTCTGTTGCCCATGCTCGAGTGCCGTGGCGTCAGCCTAGCTCACAGCAACCTCAAGCTCCTGGGCTCAAGCGATCCTTCTGCCTCAGCTTCCTGAGTAGCTGGGACATGGGCATGGGCATGTGCCACCATGCCCGGCTAATTTTTTCTATATATTTTTAGTTGTCCAGTTAACTTCTTTCTATTTTTTTTAGTAGAGACGTGGTCTCGCTCTTGCTCAGGCTGGTCTGGAACTCCTGAGCTCAAGCAATCCTCCCGCCTCGGCCTCCTAGGGTGCTAGGATTACAGGCGTGAGCCACCGTGCCCTGCCTACTCCACCAAATTCTAACCCTTGCAGACACTTCTTTTGTAGCCCTGACCACACCACACTGGTATTTACATAAATGTCTCCCCTACAAGATCTTGAGTTCTTTGAGGTTAGGAAATATACATGTCATTTCCTCTTTGTATTCCTGGTGCCTGGCAGATAGCAGTTGCTCAGGATGTTTGTGGACCTGATTTTAAAATGTGTCGTAGTCCCAGCTGTGGTGCTAGGGTCTGAATGTCTGTGTCCCCCCACAGCCTGCCCCCCATTCATATGTTGAAATCCTAACTCCTAAGGTGATCCTACTAGGAGACAGGGCCTTTGGGAGGTGATTAGGTCATCCTAATGAAATCAGTGCCTTATCAAAGAAGTCTGAGAGAGACCCCTTGCCCCTTTTGTCATGTGAGGTTATAGTGCAAAGATGGCTGTCGGTAAAGCCGGAAGCAGACCCCCACCAAACACCAAATTTGCTGGTGCCTTGATCTTTGGAACTCAGACTCTTGAACTGTGAGAAATAAATTTCTGTTGTTTATAAGCACCCAGTTTACAGTATTTTGTTATGTTTAATAGCATTCTATAATGGACTAAAGCACATGGTCGTCATTTTACAAAAGTGTGCAGTGAATTCTTGTAACAAACTGAATAGGACTCTGAAAAGTCTCTTAGATGAAATAAAGGTTAGCTCTTCACCTCGAGAGAAAGGTCGCTGTTTGTGCAGTTTTCATTGTCTTTAACGTGGTCTCTTTGGTTATCCCTCAGGATAACTTCCCTTACGTACTGCTCTCACTTGGGAGAACCTCACGCTAAAACCCAAAGGGAAGGTCAGTTTTGACTTTCCAAAAATGAAATGAAGAGAAAGAACACTACCTCTTGGTAAAATATTCATTCCAGCAATCCACCTTGGCAGGGCCTCGTTGAGCATTCGCAATTTTCTGGCATAGTTGGTTATTTTCGTACTCGATTTTGTCGATTTTCTTTTGTTCACCCTGGTAAGAAACCACACCCCACCATGGAGACATCACTACACTTCCTCCAGCACACGATGGCTTAGCACACCCTTCTCTGGGATTGTGGGAAGGGGGCACCCTGAGGACCACAGTGGGGACTGGAGGCAGAGCTTAGAAAACTGGTGATGTATATGGGAAGGAGGAGTATTAACACATCATTCAATTGGGGGGGTATTTAGAGGGCTCTGGGAAATTGGACCTCTTTAGGACATAGACTAAAAAATCAATAAAATACATCTGAAGATGGCAGGAACAAATACCTGTAGTTTGCTCAATTTTAAAATGTGATGTGTGTGCGCCACTGGAGGTTTGGTATCAACAGTAGGCTTCGCTAGAAGAGGGATAAAAGAGAGTGGTGTTATATCACAGGAATCCTAACAGCAGCCTCAGAAAACTCACGTACAGGCAATCACTCTGGCTAATGGATGATTTTGAATTATGACCTTAATCTGGTTCAGAAATTTTAGTTTGGTTTAATTTCCCAAATGGACATCTCTGAAGAGTTTTGAGCAGAAATGAAAGAATGGTGAGGACTATAAAAAGTAAAATTTACAGAGATAAATGTCCTTTTTACTTAATTTTAATTAATTTATTTTTTAAAGATGGGGTCTCGCACTGTTGGCCAGGCTGGAGTGCAGTGCAGGATCATAGCTCATTATAACCTTGAACTCCTGGGCTCAAGCGATCCTCCCCACCTCAGCCTCCCAAGTAGCTGGGACTACAGGTGTTTACCACCCCCCAACCCCAACTAATTTTTCTACTTTTTTATAGCGATGGGGTCTCACTGTATTGCCCAGGCTGGTCTCAAACTCCTGGCTTCAAGTGATCCTCCCACCTCAGTCTCCCAAAGTGCTGGGAATATGGCTGTGAGCTACTGTGCCCAGCCCAAATGTCCTTTTAATCCAATGAAAGAGCCTCTCTCCCACCCTTTCCCAATATTATTAGTCTGTCCATTGGGTTCTGAAGTCCTATCTTCTTTCTAAGCTACTATGGCTTTAAAGAGTTTCAAATGAGTGTTTCCATCAAATGAACTCCATGGTGGAACATAAATTTTGTTGCTGATGCTGATGTCCTCTTGACCAAACTCAGCAGATAAGGCCTATCATCCCAAAACCATGTCCTGGTCTGGTTTACTGTCAATATCTCCATGGGGTACCCTTCCAGAATCCCTGAGAGCAGTGGCCAGCCCAAACTGCCCACGTACCTATTTGGATTCTATTCTTGTGAAATAGGTAGTGACTAAGGTCCAGTTTCTTTCTGAAGGTTGTGCTTTGCCTATGATTAGAGACGATAACGGGGTAGGCCAGATAATCCAGGGAATTGTTCATCTTCTCTTCCTAGTCTCACTTCAGAAATGAGGTACCAAGGCTCCTCTGTGAGGTGCTTAGCTGTCCCCATGGCAGGTCGTCATAACTACCCAGTTATGACATCAGAGACCAGTCTTAGGAAAGGAGTAGGAGCAGCAGAGCATGGCTTCTGTCTCTGGGCTTTTGTTTTTGATGCTAACCTAGGCCTATGTCGAGATGGGGGTCAAGGAACTCACAAGCTTTTCCCCCTGCCTACGATGCAGTTGCTGCCAACCCACACCAGAAGGAAAGGAGTGGCGTGCTGGGAGGGGTGGGAAGGCATGGGGTGGGGGTTGGGGATTGAGAAATTCCAGGCTTGGATACATATCTCCAGCTGTAAACCAAGCAGTCTCCACTGCAGTGGTTTCCCTGAAGGTGCAAGATCACCGAGTTTCTGGGGAGGGGAAAGGTGACCTTGACAATAACCTGATCCATTCCCTTCATTTTGCAGACGAGGAAACTCAAGTCCACAGCAGCAATGAAACTCCTCAAGAACCAAGTTGGTGGCAGAGCTGGGCTCAGGATGTGGGTTCCCTGAATTCCAGAGACTATATTTGCTCTTTTGGGGAAGGAAACTGCCATTTTTCATGGCAGTGGGGGAGAACAGCTTTCTTCCAGGACAGAGACTGTGTCTTTTGAACTTAGTGGGAGCTCAGGAAGTTCTGGGGTGCTGATACCATGTGGCTCCTGGTGAGCTGGCAGCTGCTCCAGGAAGGGCTGCGGAGTCTGATTTAGCTCCACACCAACACAGGGTGTGGCACCCAGTGGGTGCTCGACACATTCGCTCATGCAGGGAGGAAGGGCTAACACTGAGTGCTCATTATGTAGTGCTGGGCGCTTTCCTTGAATGTCACATTTAATTCTTCCAACAACTGTAAGAGTTAGGTACTATTATTATCCCGATTTTTTTCCTGAGCAATGGCTGAGAGGTTAATTCCCCAGGGTCAGAATTCCAAGCCTGGCTGCATAGAGCCCAAGCTTTTAAGCACGGTGCTGACTGTCCATGGATGTTGAAAGCAATGTGCCCCAGAGTAGGGCTTCCCAGACGCTGCCCTTCGTAGGGATGTCCCGGCATAGGTAAAATGGCCATTCCGATCCAGCAGGGGAGGGCCGGGCGGAGATTCTGCGTTCCTGGCAAGGGCCGGGGAGATGCTAACACTGCTGGTGGGCAGCAGGGAGCAGCTCACACGCGGAACCCGAGTGTCCCTGTAATCCTGAAAAAACTAAGCCACACCTTGGTGTACATTTATTAGGTACGTTTATTGCTCTTCCATTCGGCTCAGTGAAGGAAGTTACTGCACTTCCCAGGTGACAAAGATACACAATCTGCCTTAGCTTGGGGTAGGGAGAAGACCCTTGAGAGTCAAGAGCGGCGGCATCTCCCCCCAGGGGACGCGCCCGGGGGCTCGCGGGTGGTCTGCTCGGCGCCCAGCGGCGCGCGTCCTCCCGGGCGTGGAGCGCGGGTGGCCCCCGCGTCACTGCGCCCGCGCTCCGCAACTTCCCGCGCCCGGCGGGCCCGCCCCCGGGGCGGGGCGGCTCCGGCTGTGAGCCCCCGCCCAGCTGACCCGCCGCTCTCCCCCTAGCTCGCTGCGGCCCCGGCGCGCAGGGCCGGGCAGCCGCCATGTCGGGCCCGTTCGAGCTCTCGGTGCAAGATCTCAACGACCTGCTCTCGGACGGCAGCGGCTGCTACAGCCTCCCGAGCCAGCCCTGCAACGAGGTCACCCCGAGGATCTACGTGGGCAACGCGTGAGTCCCCCTCGCTAGTCCACCCCACCGCTCCTGCCTGGGGCGCCCCGCCCACCCCCAGGCGCGGGCGGGGGGAGCCCGGCGCGATCGCCCCTCTGCGAGCACCGGGGGTTGGTGGGGAGGGGGCTGGAGTCGACGCCCACCCTCGCGCGTGGGGCCGAGGGGCCGGACCCCGGCCCGGCCCAGCGCCGTCCTTCCCTGTCGCCGGATGCGCGGAACCCCGGGGGGCGCCTGGCCCCGCCCTCAGCCGCCACCCGCTTGGGACTTGGTCTCGGGCGGGGTCGGGGCTACCATGTTCACTTAACAGGTGGCCCACTGTCGCCCGGCCGGTCTTCTGCCCGCGCGTCATGTGACAGCTGCCTGGTTCTGCAGTGAGGTCACCGCGGAATGTCTGCCTTCGCCGCCATGGCAACGGGCTGACGTCACAATCCGGGCGTGGAACTTTCCCCTGCCCGGCAGGCGCAGATCAGGGAATCTAAATACCCCAAACAAGGGAATTCAGAGAGCTGGGCCGGGATTTCCTGGCCTCTTCTCCCACCTTCTAGCTAGGGTTTGATTTATGCGAGATTCTAGAATGATCCAGTGATAAACCAATGAGGACCTGAGCCATCACCTAGAAAAGGTTCCATACCTTCTCACCACCAGGAAATACATTTTCTATTTATTACTTACAGGTTCTTTTGTCAGATCGATTTCTCCATTTTCTCTTATTCAAACTACTAGTAAGAATTTCTCAGCAGCAGGAGAGAACCAGTGTTAACCAACTTGAAAGGCGCTGAAATACCAGCCAAAGGAAAGAATAGATTAGCATGTCTACACTGCCATCTCCCAAGACCCAGTGACCAAAGTCCTAAGCTCCATGGGCCCAGCCAAGGGACCGCATGTTGAAACCCAGAACTAATCCCTCCTCTCATTTTCCACAGGAGGAAATGGTGGCCCAGAGTGGTTGAGGGATTGTGAGGACAGGGCCAATGTCTCGTTCATGTCTGTATCCCCTGACCTCTGCTAGGACCTGCTACTTAACCTGCCAAGGACTGCCACAGAAATCTGGGTCATCATGAAGCTAGAAGGGGTCCATGAGGCAGGCCCCAGCCTCATGGGGACAGGTGTTGTCTATTCCATCATTCATGCACCATTTTGGGCACCTACTATGTGTCAGCCACTGTACAATGTTCATTCATAGCAGAAGCAGTAATAATGATAATGGTGAATTTGTTGAATGTTGAATTAGTATTAGAGAAGGGAGATGAATAGGAGTGACTCTTCAAAGTGTTTTTTTCTAGGAGCCACTGCTTTATAGTCTTGTGCATAAGCAGGAATAGCTGAAACAGAGTCCCATAATCCCAACAAAAGTCCCCAGTAATTGCAGAGTTCTGGGGTACCCTCCCTACCCCCATCCTCCAACTACCCAAGCAGCAAGTGGGCTTCAGCAGCCTCAGGATCCCTGCTCACTTGGGCATTCTGGCCACTCAGCGCTCACTGCTTCCCAAGTGGAAACCGAAGGTGTGAACATCTGGTGGTAGCCAGAGTGGCAAGTGTTGATGGCCACTGTAGAAGAAACATCCCTTGCCCTCTAAGGAAATCTGACCTTGACTTGGCCAAGGGTGTGGCGGGTTCTCAGCAGGGAGGATCAATTGAGCATCAAGTACCAAGAGAACTTGGGCTCCCCCCCCCCGACCTGTCGGGAGTCCCTTAACATCAGGGCTCCAGCCATGTCGTCACAGAGCAGAGACACGGCCTGTGTCAGCCACGTTTGCCAGGTCTCGAGAGTTTGAGTGGATGTGGGCATGGGAGCAGAGTGAGGTGGAGCACAGAGCAGGGCCGGGTGTTGAGGGAAAGGAGGTTTCCTCCCCACTCTGCCATCTGCAGCCCACAGGAGCACATGCACATCCCTCCGTCTGTCCTGTCGGACCAGAGCTCTGTTGCATGGTGATATTGCAGTCCTTCCTTCCTCACAGGGCTGCTGAGCTGGGCAAAGGAGATCACATAGGAGGCGGCGTTTTGTAAAGTGTAGACGGCTGTTTGAATCGGACTGTTTTGTGAGATGAAATAAAGGGACCCTTTGACCATTCAGATCAAATATTTTGTAACCCCCATAGTTCTGTTGGGGCTGCTTGCTCGCCAGGTGCTAACTCACCTGTGAGAGCCCAAGAAACATGGAGTGTGGTAGGAAGGATCCTTCTGTGGGTGGGGGTGGGACTGCCTGGCATGTGAAGATTTCATTCCTTTTCACTTATTCACTGCCTATTTATTCAGCACCTGCTATGTGCCAGGTACTGCAGCAGGTACCTGGGGAGACAGACCCGAAGAGATATGGTTCCTCCTCAAGGAACACGGAGCCTGGACGTCTAAACAAAGGGGCACCATCAAGCGTTAGAATAGTAGCATCAATATGGTGTCAGGCTCAGTCTGTGGAATAGCCCATTTAACACTCGTAACAACCCCAGGGAGTAGGCACTGTTATCACCCCCATTTCACAGAAAGGGAAACTGGGGCACAGAAAGGTTAAGTGTCTTGCTCAAGGTTGCCTGGCTGGTGACGGGGCTGCATTCAGACCCAGGCAATCTGGCCCCAGAACCCATTTTTAACCACTTGGCCATCCCATCTCCACAGGTTAGGGAGATGGTGCCAGATGGGATGGAGGGGAGATGAGGAAATCCCACAGAGGGTGGTGAAAGATGAGAGGGTGCATGTCTACAGAGGAGGTGGGGAAGGGCATTCCAGGCAGAGGGGACAGCGTCGGAGTGAAACCACCAGTCTATTTGGGGAAGCTGCTGGTAATCCGATATGGCCGGAGTGCAGGGAGAGATCATGAGATGAGGCTGGGGCAGCCGGCAGGCCCAAGCATGGAGGGCTCCTTGCTTTACCAAGAGACTCAGAGCCTTCCCCATCCTCCTCCCCCTGGGCCTGCCAATTGGTCAGTTAATCATCCCTTCCCACGGTCTCCTGTCCAGGTCTGTGGCTCAAGATATCCCCAAGCTGCAGAAACTGGGTATCACCCATGTCCTGAACGCGGCTGAGGGCAGGTCCTTCATGCACGTCAACACCAATGCCAACTTCTACAAGGACTCCGGCATCACCTACCTGGGCATCAAGGCCAACGACACGCAGGAGTTCAACCTCAGCGCCTACTTCGAAAGGGCAGCGGACTTCATTGAGCAGGCCTTGGCTCAAAAGAACGGTAAGGGGCCTGCCACCCAGGAAAAAATGGGAGGCTGCTTTGACGGGACTGTCCTTCTAGAACACGGGCCCACAGCAGGTCTCTTCTTAGAAACCCTCTTATTTCGCGCCTCCTGTGGTAAATGAGCGGGAGCCGTGGCTCGCTCTCTGCTCACCTGGCTGCCTGTCAGCTACAGGACACGAGGTGTGCGGCTCACGCACACAGTGGCAGCACCAGGCCCTTGCATTTGATTTGACTTTGGCTGAGGGTTGGTTTCCGGCCACTTACACATCCTCCACCCCGAATTCAGACAGCCTTATGACTGAGAAGGATTCGTTATTATTCACGATAAGAAGTCCCGAGGTGAAGGAACCAGGGCTGGTTGATTCGGCAGCTCCATGGTGGCATCTGGGCCAGGTTCTTTCCCTCTGTCTCCCCTCATGGTCCCAAGATGGGATCCAGTCACCACATCCCAACGGGACAAAGGGCAGCAGATCAGGCAGCCATCTCTTCCCACGTTTCTCTCTTTTTTTAAGAGCAAGGACAGCATTCCCCAGGAATTCCCCTCACATCTCCCCGGCTAGATGTTCGCGTGATACCTGGCAAGGGGAGATGGCGCAGCAAACTGTGGCCCCCAGGCCAAATCTTCCAGCACCTTTTTAAACGCTTCCTGTAGCCCCAAGTATGAGAAAGGACCGCAGGAGAACCGCCGAGGCGCTGGCAGTGGGACAAGGCTTTCCGGCAGGAAATCCTAGAAGGCCACAGGGCAGACAGCAGCCGAGCAGGCCAGGCCACTTGCCCTTTCTGCTTTTAGCTGTTTATCTCGGCTCCTCTCTTGACCTCTTCCTCCCTCCCCACCCCATGCCCTCCCAGGGGAGGTGACCCCCGTGCGGGGTGATTGGCCTTGTCTCTGCTACACCCAGCAGCCTCCCATCCGAGTGATTTCCAGTGGACAGACTTCATGGGCCACTGGCTAGCACACGGCCAGGGCTTCGGAGAGAAGTTTTATCCACCGGGGAGTCTGCAGACTTTACTGTGAGGCCCCTCATGGTCCTTTGTGATCACTGTCACCCTTGGCCCAGCTTACTCCCCTCCACTTCAGCTGTACTGAGCTCATCACCCTCTGTAGATGCAGAATGAGGGGCCCAATCGAGGGGGAGGATTATGCTCTTCTCGTATAATATTGAGTGGTCAGCTGTTCAGGGAACTTACGGCTCTCTGACTTTGTTTCCTCTTTCCAACCGGTTAACTAGGACCTTTTCAGACCTCCGGCTTCAGCCCAGCTGGACTGGGTCTTCAGTCTGGAAAGCTCTCTCTGCCTCTCCCTACCCTGTCCTTTGGCAAACTCTTCTTTGTGCTTTAGCACTGGGCATAGTGTCCTCTATTCCATGAAGCCTTCCCTCAGGCTGGGTCCACCGTGTCCCTTGTCTGTCTCCCAGCACCTGATGTAGCATCAGGCACATAGTAGGTACACTGCAAATGATTACTGAACACGTGACAATTCTGTGGGCTCTAATGCCAAGTGTAAATGCCTCTAAGATTGGCCAAGTGAGTCGACAGAAAAGCGCTGGCTTTTAACGGTGCGCAGGGCTCAGGGGACCCAGGCACCCATCACTGAGAGAACTGGGTGGGTGGCTGGTGGGGGGAAGAGGAGACGGGGCGGTCACTTCCAGCTGGGGAGATTAAGGGAGGCTTCATGGAGTAGGTGGCATCTGGGCTGGGCCTGGGGGATGGGTTGGGGGGAGCTCCCCAGTATGCTCTGTGCACCTCGGGCGTGCCGAGTATGTTCCGGGTGGTGAGGCGGCTGCTCTGCAGGGGGTCCCTTTCCCAGGGCAGGGGCAGGGGCAGCCCCACTCTGAATACTTTAGGCATACTAAGCTGGACAGTGAATGAGCAGGAAAATGGAGGACTCCCTCTGGATTTGAGAAGTGCTGGAAAAGTCGAATGGTGTTTGGAGGGTAGGTGATGGGAACAAAAGAGACCCTGGTAGACTCTGGGCTGACAGATCTCCTTCCAGATAATGGCGTGTAGAGGTGTTAGTGGGTAAAATCCACTCAGCGGTCGGCACTGTTCACTGGGCACGTAGCGTATGCTAGAGATATATATACCCCACAGTCCTCACTCTTAGGGAATCTACCCTCGGGAAGAGGAGGGTAGATCTGTGCACAGCCAGCAGTAACATGGGGCTAGGGCTGCTGCAGTTGAGGATGTCCCAGGTGCCACCAGAGGGCTCCCAGTCCTGGGTAACAGTTATTGCGTGCTCACGTATGCGAGGCACTAGCCTAGCGGCTTTTAGTGTCATCTCCTTTAAACTCCCAACCACTGTATTCGATGGGTCTGTTGGCACAGATGTGAAAACTGAGGCACCGTGAGGTTAGGTGGGTCACAGAGTTAATAACCAGCATATTGGTCAGAATTCCCCAGGAAAACAGAACCAATAGAATATGTCATTGGCCCTCTGTACCCTTGAGTTTCACATCTGTGGATTCAACCAACTGCTGATTGAAAATATTTGGGGAAAAAAAAGCTTGTTGCATCTGGACTGATCACATACAGACTTTTTTCCCTAAACAATGTAGCACGACAACTATGTACACAGCACACGAAATGCAAATACACATTTACATTGTGTTAGGTATTATAAGTAATCTAGAGATGGTTTAAAGTATGTAGGAGGATGTGTGTAGGTTATTTGCAAATACTGTCACATTTTATATAAGACTTGGGCATCCATGGATTTTGGCATCAGTGAGAGGTCTTGGAAGCCATCCCCCATGGATATGGAGGGACAATTATACATGTTTGTATGTAGTATGTATGATTGTTTTAAGTCATCCTTGTTACAGGGATATGATTTACTTTTGATATATATCTATGATATTGATTTATATGGGGGACAATTATACATGTTTGTATGTAATATGTATGATTGTTTTAAGTCATCCTTGTTACAGGGATATGATTTACTTTTGATATATATCTATGATATTGATTTATCTATATTCCTATACATATACATATGATTTATTTTAAGGGACTGGCTTGTGATTGTTGGGGCTGGCAAGTCTGGGATCTGTAGGCCAGGCCAGCAGGCTGGAAACTCAGGCAGGATTTGATTTTGAAGTTATGGTTGTGAGGTGTAATTAGTGCTTCTCTAGGAAACCTCAGTTTTTCCTTAAGGTCCTCACCTGTTTTGGTGGGGCCCACCCACATTATCAAGGGTGGTCCCCTTCATTTAAAATCAACCGATCGTCGATGTTAATCACAGCTACGTGATACCCTGCAGCAACATGTAGAATAGCATGTGACCAAGCGGCTGGGAAATGTACATGAGCCAGATCGACGTATTTCACCATCACAACCAACAAGTTCTAATTTAAATCCAGGTTCATGAGCCTTCAAAGATTTGGGTTTTAGATCTCTATGCTGACAAAGGAAATACTTGAACTGGCGTCATAAGGAATGAGCAGGAGTTTACCAGGTGGCCAAGAGGGAGAGAAGTTCCAGGTAGAGGGAACAACCTGTGCCAAGGTGCAGAGGTGAGAAAAAGCATGGAAAAATGTCGAGGCTGTGTGGCCAGGTGGTTTTGTAAGCCACACCTTGGGGACTAGATTCTACCCTGCAAATGGCGTCAGGTCATATTTGTATTTTGGAAAGTTCCCTCCAGCTGCTGGGTGGAATGTGGACTGGTGGTGGTGAGGGTGCAGGGAGAGCTCAGTGCGGAGGTGTTGAGGGGGCACGAGTGAGAGGTGACAAGGACCTGAACTAAGCACTCTGTGCAGGGGAGAAGCCAAGGCATGTGGCTCACGGGGCCCCCTCTAACATGCTGGGACTTTGCTGACGTCAGCCTCTGCCATCGCCTCATTCCTTCATTCCTTCACCTAACGCTGGGGACTCGGCAGGGAGCAAAACAGGTGACATCCCTGCCCTCAGGGGCTTACGTCTCAGTGGGAAGATGATGGTAATGGAGTGAGGATGATCCCATCCGTGGCATGTCACCGGGGAATAAAGCCGGGAGAAGGGGATTAGGCAGGATAAGTGATGGGACCGGGCTTGTGGATTTAGAGAGTGTGGGTGGGAAAGGCCTTCCTGGGAAGGTGACATTTGAGCAAAGCCCTGGGGAAAGAGGAATTGCAGGGCAGGGCTGGGCTGGAGTGGAAAAAGAAGCAAGAGAAGGAGATGATGTCACAGCTAGGGATCAGGTTCTATACGGCCTCATGGGCCATTTGGGACGCTGTGAGAGGGCGTTTGTATTTGTGTGTGTGTGTGTGTGTGTGTGTGTGTGTGTGTGTGTGTGTTGCTTTTTTGTCCTTGTTTATGTTTGTATTTGACGTGCATATCCTTTCATTCTTTAAACTGCATTGTTGAGGTGTAACAGACATTCAATAAACTGCACACACTTAAAGCACACAGTTCAGTAAGTTTTGACACATGTATACAGCCGTGAAACCATCACCACAGCCAAGATAGTGCACATGTCCATCACTCATGTCCCTTTGTGACCCCTTCCTCCTACCCCTCTCTACTCTCTGTTCCCAAACAACTACTGATCCGCCTCCTGTCACAAGAGATAAGCGTGTGTTCTGTAGAGTTTTCTATAAATGGAATCACACAGTATGCACTGTTTTTTTGTCTGGTCTCTTTCACTCAGCGTAGTTATTTTGAGTTTCACCCGTGGTGTTGCAGCGATCAATAGATCGTTCCTTCTTATTGCCGAGCAGCGGTCCGCTGTATGGACGTACCAGCACGGTTTATCCGTTCACCTGTGGATGGACCCGTTGTCTCCGTGTTTTGCTTTTGAATGAAGTATAAAATACACATAGAGCAGTGCCCATATCCCAAGTGTGTAGTTCACTCCCAGGGTCACCCTGTCCAGGCTTCCAACAGCACAGATCAGTTTCGCCTGCTTGGCTGCTCTACGGCATCCTACACCTCATGTTTGTGTTGCTTCTGATAAGTTGTAGATTGCTCAGCCTTTTAATTTATCGCTTCTACTGTTGCTGGGCCTTCAGTGGTTTCCCACTTGGGGCCGCGATGAATAGCGCTGCCTGTGAACATTCTGATCTGTGTCTGTTCCTGAACACACGTGCACTTCCTGTGGGGCCTGGACCTGAATGCAAGTGTTCAGCTTGAGGAGATAAAACTGCCACCATTTTCCAGGGTGGTTGTGCCACTTTGCACCCCCAGCCGTGCGGAAGAGTTGTAGTTGCCCCACGTCCTCACCGACACTTTGTGTTTTCTGTCTTTTGCATTTTGTCTATTCTGGTGGGTGATGGACATGACATTGTGCTTTTTATTTGCGTTTCATGGAAGAGTTTGAGCCAGAGTCGTGGGGTGATCAGACATCCGCAGCTCACCACGTCTCCGTTTCTTGCAGGCCAGGTGCTCGTCCACTGCCGTGAGGGTTACAGCCGCTCCCCGACTCTCGTCATCGCGTACCTTATGCTGCGGCAGAAGATGGACGTCAAGTCTGCCCTGAGCATCGTGAGGCAGAACCGTGAGATCGGCCCCAACGATGGTTTCCTGGCCCAGCTCTGCCAGCTCAATGACAGACTAGTCAAGGAGGGGAAATTAAAACTCTAGGGCAGCCCCGCTGCCTTGTCTGCCGGGGAGGCCCTGGTTGAAGGTGTCCCAAGCCGCCATGTTTAGGAAACACACTGTACCCCGCTCCCAGCATCACAAGGCACATGCCCACAAGTCTGTCCCTACACAGTCCTGGGCCGCTTTCCCCCTCGGGAGCACATAAAGATGCTTGCTGAGGAGGGCATCCTTGTTCCCTGATTGTCCTGTTGTAACTTACGTCCTTTTTCTGGGGGTGGGGGCTTGGAGAGGGAAGGCCTGTGGCCCGCATGCTTGACGGCCCAGGGCAGGAGGTCTGGAAGGGTGAGGCCTGAGATGTTCACAGGGGCCCCTCACAACCTCCCCTCCCTCACCTCCAGATCCTCTCCTGAGCGGGAACCTCAGCACCTGAGCCCTAGTACAGGAGCTATGCAAACGCAGGCCCCCTCCCCACCACGTCTGTGTCCCCTGGTGTCCCCGCAGCCTTCCCCACCCTGCACGGGGGTAGAGTTCTCGCGCCACAAACGCGAGAGGCAGGGGCGGGGGTGTCCATCAGTTGTTAGTGGATGGAAATTCCCACAAGAGGCTGCATTTTAATGATTTTCGTGGGGTTAATTGGGTGGGTAACAAATTCTGGAAGACTCTGCTAAATCCATAGAGTTTTTAAAATGTGAATCTTTGGATGGTTGAATTCAGAAACCACGGCTTTGGACTATTTCCCTCGGAGCTCTCTCAGTCACTTCGTCTGTTAGAAGAGCGATGCTTTGGGCATGGTTTTATTTTTCTTTTTTAGAAAACAGGGTGTTGAAGTCCAGCCTATTTAAAAACCCCACCATTTGGAGAATGACAAGGGTTTTGTCCTGAATTATAGTGTTGGCGAGCCCAAGCCACTTGTGCTAACTGCTTTTTGTCTCAGTTGCTATTCCTAGACCTGAAGGAGGAAGCTGGCCAGTGACAGCATGTGTGTGTGGGTGCAGATGGGGGTGTGCCTCTGGGAAACGAATGGTCCCGGGCACACACCCTGCCCACTTACAGGTGCCAATGGAGGGTCCCTGGAGAGACTCAGAGACATGGCAGAGTGGCCAAATGAATCCTTTATTGGTGGTAGAGCAAACAAACAAACAAAAAGAAACAACCTTTTAAAAGACTTTTTAAAGATGATACCAGAATGCACTAGCACTCACGTGTGTGCACATTTGCCAGAATATAGGAGTCGTGTTTTGGACAGTCTTGTTAGGACTTTATGTTATTGTTGTCATGAAAAGTGGTGAAATGTTGTTTTATTTTCAGGGTTACTCTGGGCAGAGAGGTGGTCCACAGCCATGCCCCTGGCACCCAGCACATGGGTGTCTGATAAAAGTTTGTGGAATTAAACTCTTTTTGAGCGCCAAATAGATATATAGGGCATTGTTCTGGTGAGTGTATCAAACTCCCAGAAGCCTGAATTCATGGTAGGATCACTTGCAAGGATTTGCAAAGGAGTCTTACCTGAACTGAAAGAAATATCAGGGACTTTTGTTAACTATTTAAAATTCAGTTTTCAATTTAGATTCAGGCAGTGTTACTATGTCAAGGTGGGGAATGTGCCTTTTTCAGAGTTGACCGGGAGCTCCCAGCTAGGACAATGAGAAGCAGGTGTGCCGCAAGGCCCCAGTTCCGGATGTGAAGATCTCTGATGACACAGGAGTGACCCTGTGCAGCCTGGACGTTCACTGTCCCCTTTTCTGTGTGACCACAGCAGCCCTGAACAACTAGGATCTGTCTTCTTTTTCGGATACGGGGCTGTCCAGGCAGATCCACTAAGGGAAATGGCCATTATGGCCAAATGGCCTCTAAACTGTGTGCCTCATGTCACAGTTTTCAGGTAGCCTTCCTACTTAATCTAACTTGAGCCTCACAATAACCCTGTAAAGTGAGTAGAGCTTATTCACATGTTGTGACCTTTTTAAAAAAAAAGGGAACTGGGTTTCAGAATGATTAAGGGCATGGCCCCCAGGGTTGCCGGGCTCTTTAAGGCAGAGCAGAGGCAAGAGTTCAGGTTTGCTGCTCCCTGAAGCTAGATTCTCTCTTTCATACAATACTCCTCAAGAAAGGAGCTCCCTGGGAGTATCCAGCTGTGCTGCACATGCCCTTGACCCAGCCCTGCAGAAGGAAGTAAAAAGGGTAGGTCCCCAATTGGGTTAGAATGTGCAGCTCTTGTTCTAGGCGACATGTAGCACCCCTAAGTCAGAGCCTTCCGCTCTGCTCCTGGAGGAGGCTCTGGGGCTGGGGCTCCCCTCCCATGCCCAGGTCGTGGTCACCCCACGGGACAGCCACAGCTACTGAGGTGAACACGGCAGGTTGGTGTGGCTGGTTAACTAGGACCTCCCGAAGCCCTCTTTGTGTGGGCATGAGGGAGTAAAAGCCATTGGGCGAATTACTGCCTTTACTTTGGGACTACTTTTACGTGGATAACTTAGGATTTCTTGATAGTTTTTCATCCCAGAAACCTCATATTTGCTTCACAAGATTTAGCTTCTAGTACTTTAAGTAAAATATTAATAAAATTCTACTGTGTAAGAGCCAACACATGCCCAGCTGTGACTGGGAGCTGTTCCTGGACAGTTTTCCACTCCCTGGGAAGTGATGGGATAGGAACTCAGGGTGCCCTACTTCCTCCCCAGACCTGATCCCTTTCTTCGACCGACAGAGCCCCATCCAGGCAAAATCCAAGGGCCAAATGGTTTTCTTCGCGATCTTAAAACAGTATACCTTTCCACAGGCTGGTCTGTTTCCCTGCCACTCTGAGTTATCTTGAGAGCAGAAACCTGCACCTATCAAATGAGGGGACTCATCTAGAAGACCTCTAAGGTGCCTTTTGGCCCTGAGGGGTCTCTAAGAATCCCTACTTGGTGTGTTTATTATACAATAGTACCGCTGGGAAATTGGGGTATGTGAGTAATAGTATGCTGGCCAGCAGGTGGCGCTGCGTTCCACCCGTGGTGATGGCTGGTTCAGAAAGGGAAATGTTGGTGCCTTTTGTGCTGCAAGTTAATGTTAAGAGGCTAATGTTTTAATCAAAATAAGCACTGACCTTAAATATAAAGATATGAGCTTTTCTCACGGGAAATTTTCTTTTTCATAAAACGGGTGTCAGAAATAACTGAAGAGCCAACAACGATGGTCCTTCCAAGTCAAGATTTTATCCTGATTTGAAATAGAGACCATCTCAAGTTGAGAGAGCAGATTGGTTGAAAGCTTAGCTTTTGTTCCCTCTTACTTCCTGCCAAATTTTAGGGTAATTTGATTGTGAAAGAATGAATTTTCTGGACAGAAAAGGGGGAGGTAACAAATTGGTTAACAACAAAAAAACAAGTTCAGTGTTCATTGTGTCACAAATCAGTGTTAAAACACTAAAATTGTAACCAAAATAAATGTCTTACATTACAAAGAAATCATCTTTTTTGTCCTTCTTATCACAGTTGATTTTCTTTTATGCTTCTGTGCTTAGCTTTTGTTTGCTTTTTCTAACTCTTTAAAATAATCATCATCTAAAAATTAGCTATCCTAATTTTTGTAGGTTCCATGATGGTCGTATTGATGTAGTAGCTATTTGTGAAACATCTCTCCAGTACCAGAAATTTTTTATGTTAGGAATATTCTTGGGTAGAGTGGCCCACCCAAATGAGGAAGGTAAGATTTGTGTACTTAAGAAAGAAAGGAACTGGGGTGACAATTTCAAGTTGGCCTCCCATGATGACTGGATGAAATTTTGGGATTTGAGTGATCCTGCTAACAGGCAATCCCAAAATATATCCCCTGCCCCCAGATATCTTAAATCCTTCTATCGGTGCTATGTTCCTTTTCCCTCTGAATTAAAAAAAAAAAAGAATTGAGAAAGTGGGTGTCTTTTGTCCCAGACAGAAAAGGCCTGAGCAGAGAAAGAGGCTCTCTAGGCTCCTGTCCCTTCTCTGTCACATGTGGCAATTAGACTGGCTCACTATTGGTCAAGCCTCTTTGATAACATAATCTTGATGGTTTTACATAAAATCTTAAGGCATA